GTAATTTTGTTCTTGAATAGCTGTGAATGAAAAAATGTGTAAATTTTTAAATTTACTTTTGTTCTTATTTTCTGTTATATAAAACTTTATTTTTTACATTTTTTTTTTCTTTTTGTAGTTTGTACAGTTTTGTACATAATTAAATGACTTTAAATGCATATTCTGTATATAATTAATTTTTTAATTTCTAAATTAATGTAAATATTTACTTACATTTTACATATAAGTCAAAAAACGGGATACCATTTGATAGTCTTAATTGGAACCCCAGTAGGTTTCCTGCATTTTATGATGTAAAGTCTGCCATAGTGATTTAGTTTCTAAATCGTATACTTATTTTGAATATTTTAGAGACGAAAGATTAAAGATTCAAACGAAATTAAGGGGCAGCCCATTACGTGTGCAGCTTCTGAGCACTTTTGACCCTCCTACTCTACAAACTCTTTTCCTTTTAATTACATGTACAGTACGAGATGATATAGTTCGTGGACTCCTACATTGAAGAAACGAGTAAAAAGTTCTGAAAATATTTTCTGATAGTTTATTTATGTTACTACTAAGTAACCTTATAAGAGCAGATTCGTTTGCCACTATAAAACTGAAAAATCTACGAATTCAACCTTGTCTTGATGCCTTCCACGAGTGTATTTTGAATGCTGGCGGGCCGCGCGCCATTTCTTACCAGTACCTACACGCTCCACACCCACCTTATAGTTTAAGATAGGCACCACTTGCAATAAAATAAGTCTTTACGTAGGCTAATTACCGTTTTCATTAAGGCATAAACCGAGCATAGAGACTAATACGAGAAATATATTTGCAATATTTTTAAACAGATAAAAAAAATTAGTGCATAAATTTCACCATGCAAAAAAAAAACACTAAAAAATGACGATGATGATCTGCCTCCATACTATTAGTTTCCTCTTAGATTTTTGTGTAGAAATATCATTACACAGTTGGATTTATACTTTGAATTTTATTTATTAATACAATAGACGTTGTTCTTTCGTCACTGTGCAGTATAATTTTTAAAAACAATGGTAAAATTATTACAAATTTTAAATGTCTATTCAAACAACTCGATATTATAATATTGCAAGACCTAGTTTTTTTATCGGAAATAAAATAAAGAATAATTATATTAAAAAAAACTTACAATCGAGAAAGGAAATAAAAATATAAAACATGAGATAACTAGAAATACGCAACTGGTACATTTAACTATTCAAGTAGGCTACAATTTGGCCTAATGCAGTACAAACGGAAACAACATAAAGGCATTTGTTACGTAATAACTTTACAAATGAATGTGGAACACATCTCTAAATACATTTAAAAAATATATTTGTTTTATCTTTATACACCGGCATTAATAAATTTAATATGTTTAATAAGTTGAATAAATTTATGTATGCTGATAAACTTTGAAAGGAAGCAGCTCTATCTAGCAAAAATCATCAAATCTAATATATAAATAATAATTAAAATCGCTTGAATAAATATTGTAGTAAGAGAATTGAGAATTACTATACTAAAGTGGATCAGTGAGGGCTAAAGTTCATACAAATTTCGGGAAGTGGAGATCGGAAATTAATTTCCTATATCGATAAAGGAAGTTCACACCCTTTTAACTAATTGGGAGAATGCTTGCGACTTTGTAGGATTCAGACGATGCTTTTCTCACTGTTTTCGAGCATGGAAGGAAATTCTGCCTTCAGGTAAAAGCCTTTTTAACTGTAATTTAACATAATGGATAGAGTATATTCGAAATCGTTTATCGATAACAATTAGTATATAAGTTGCGATACATATAGGCTTTCAACCTCCTTAAAACAACTTATCTTCTATAAACTTTTATTAATAATATGCCAAATGATCGCTCAATAAGGTATCGTTTTACTGCGATACGCATCCGGATTCGAGTTCGACTTTTTTTCATGCGTAATTTGATTGAGATATTGTTCCTTACATTGGTAAATGTTCACAATGAGCAAAATTGCGCTCGTTCGTACAGATTTTATCTTTTACTATTAATAGTAGGGTCTGAAGATCAGTAGAATTACTAGATAAAATCAATAGAATTTCGTGTGGCATATATATAGCATGCTCGAGCTTCTCCATGTAACATATATAGGTTACATGGAGAAGCTCGAGCCAATTGGACTCTGTTAGCAATTCTATAGATTCTTGAACACAATTATTCACGAAAATTTTGAAATTTCGAGTTTAATTCCTAATAAATTCCATAAATATATGAGAGGAATAGAAATTAATAGTCTCAGTTTGCAGAAAATAATTTAGTATATTATGTATTTTATCGTTAATTTTGTATTATTAGTTTCATATATACTTGGCATTTAAGTTCGTTTACAATTATAAAATTAGTGTAGTGTATTTTAAAGTTTTATGTGAACCTGGATTCCGTTTAACTCGCCAATGTTACGCTAAATGTTTACATATATGTGACATGTAAACAATGAAAATATATTTTACATCTAATCTCATTGATTGAAAAATATCGTAAAAGTTCAATTTAAAATTTTTCATAATTATAGTTTTAAATTTTCTGTGGGGTGATTCATAATGGTTAATTACTTCAACGGAAATAACAAATCTCGAAAGGAAGGGAGTTCTTTGGGGCCAGAGGAAATATTCTTGATAAAATTGTTCCTTTCCTGACTTGGAAAAAACTTTTCGACTAATCTACGCATTAAAATTCTCAATAAACGAAAGATTCCTATATATATAGTATATATTCTATACCTTAAAAACGCATTCTTGAAATCCACATAAATAAATATTTCAAATATTTCGTTTATTATGAAGAATCTTTCTGTTTAGAATCCGGTCTGGACACTCGTGATTTTTCCATGAATAGATTCAAATTAAGGCATCATTTCCTACCTTTCGGCTTTTATTGAGGTCGAGCCCTCTTGTAATATGCAAAATTAAGATTTATCATATAATAATCTGGTGTTTTATGTCAAAGATGGATTGATGAGATAAAGCAATGAAACATTTGAAGCGATCTGCCAAAAGGGTGGCTCCCCGGAGGACTTTCTATAGGAATTAGTCCCTATTTAGATATTAGGCATGTGAATAAAACATGAAAAGCTTCATGTGGCCCGCCGGTTTTCAGGCGGGAACCCGCGACCAACTACCACTATTCGGTGGTATTATCCATTTTCCACTGAACAGTGGTTTCATTTTTGTGTCAAGAAAATCAATCAAACCAATTTAAAATGTAAAAGTATTATCACTTTTCGTCCATTCCTTTGTCTTTCAGTTTGTTTCATGAAATATAGTTTCTAATACATTTTAAAGATATATTTAATTACTGATATTGATTTGAATGAATACATATTTTGTGATGTTGTATTTATAAATAGAAATACAGTATATTCATTTGTATACGCTGTATAGAAGTAGAAATTTATCTATATATACAATAAATCACAATTCTATTTATTATTAAATTTGGGAAAAGTGTATTCTTAAAATAAATTTTAAAATTCTGTTTTAATTTTGTATCTATAAATGGCAATTCAAATTCCTCTCGAATCTCAATGATATTATTTCTTATGATTTCTATTTTCGTGAAGCGTTTAATGATATTAAATTTCAAAATAAACCATTAACGCTTTAAAAGATGTTGACTTAACGTTCCGTGACATCCGGGTTCGAATCCGGGCGAGCAATTTACAGTGTTTTTTCACAAGCGGGATATGTTTGAGTATAGAAAAAGTTCCCTTGGTAGCCACAGGGCGAAATAGTAAAAAGATAATATTATTATATATAATTACATATTTAATCAAACCTAATGTATGATAGTAATAAACAAATGACCCCGCCGGATTTTAAGATGGCGATTCTTTAAGCGAAAATAGAAATTCACTAAAATTCTTGTACACAATATATAGAAAATTCTTCAGTAAGTTAAAATATATTATTAATACGCATTTTACATTTAAATATTTATTAAGTTTAAAAATGTAACATTGTAGCATTATTTTATAATTAAGTATAATATGTACAGTACCCGTAGAAATATGAAAAATATTATAAAAATATAGCCAAATAAAAAAAATAATTTACTTCAAATAGATAATATAAAATTAATTTAAATATATAATTTTTTATGCTAATTAATTTTAATAAGTTATAAAAAGGCATTTTTAGGAGTATATTAAGAAAAATTCTTTTTATTAAGCTACATTTAGGCTAGTAAAGAAGTTAATTATTTTAAGAATTTGTCAGCGCTGTTGATAGAGTCGCCATCTATCAGTAACCAAAACAATAAATTAATTCTGTTATATTCTATGAATATAAAAGACGAAGTTACAAAACAAATATGTAATAATATATCAAAAATAAATAGCGTAATGTCTTTTCCTGTCTTTTTAAAAGGAGAAAACAAATAAATAAAGAGATAAGGGGAAAACACCGATTTTTATAATGAAAAAGAATTTCGGATTTTTATTATATTTTATAACAAAAACAGAAAATCTCAATAAATCCATTTATCACGTTTGCCCCTTTACATGTGTCTTCACTGTCAATAGTGTTGAGTACGAGGAGAAGCTAATGTCTCTTTGATACATAAACAATTAAATAGACAACATATTTTAAACTTTTATATCGACAGATATTAACTTTTTATGAAAATAAAACGAAATTTAAAATTATTATAAATATATACATCTATATTATAGTTCATATAAATGCAGATTTTAATAAAATGCTTTTGAATAAACGTATAATCAATGAAGTACATAATCGAACCTCTGAACTACAGTGGCTAGAAAATATAGTGTCGAAATCGAGCTTTTTCTGTCCCTATATTGGAGGTTGCCGCAAGAGGCGCTGCTTTATCTTTATCTTTATCTTTATCTTTATTTATTCCCGATACCGCAAGAGCATAATCGGGTTAATTACAGAGATATTTGAAAGCACAGGTAAATACATACATAATAACAGACAGATAACGTACAAACAGTATGACAATTGAAAAGTATGAACAGAAGGTAAGATGACCAATATAAATCAGCCGATATTATACAAAACGTGAGAGTAGAATAACATGTACGGTAAATTAAAATAGACAATACTAATAGTAATAATAAATATTATACAGATATATGCTGCAGCAGAACAATAATGATATGTATATACAATAATGTGCAAGAAGCAAATGAAAATAATGCCTGATGACTGACTTGACTAACTTAGTGAATGACAGAGCGTATGTGATACATATGAATCAATTTTTTGAATGCTTTGTAGGTGTCACTATCCTTAAGAAGGACATGAAGTTCACATGGCCAGTTAATTCCCCTGTGGCTAAGAGCAAGGGCAAGCTCATGCCTAGCATCCTCGGTCATTGGACACATGTATACATAGTGCTCAACCCCATCACGGCAATTACAGATGGTACAGATGTCCGTTGTAGATTTGCCGAACCTCTGTAAGTAGGCCCGGAATCTCCCATGCCCAGTGAAGAATTGCGTGGTTTCATAGTCCGGACTAACCCAGTGGTTAGAAAGGTGGTCATGAATAGATGGAAAAAAGTTCCTGGCAAGGCCATTGTAACTATCCCATCTCTGCTGCCAGAGATCCAAGCTGTAGTTCCAATGCTGGAGCTTAAGAAAAGAAGCAGGTAGCACTGAATAATTGAAAGGGCCAGAGGTACCGATCGTTGCAGCCTCCCTGGCAAGTAGATCTGCACGTTCATTACCTAGGACACCCTGATGACCTCTCACCCATTCGAGGGAATAGGAGTTCTGAGCACAAGGTATATAGTTTAGAATCTTCCTAACCAGAGGGTGTAGGTTGTTGAGATTCCTAAGTGCGTTGATTGCTGAAGCACTATCAGAGCAAATTGTAACTCTACTTCCAGTAAGATTGGCTTCACACCATTGAACAGCCATGTAAATGGCACAGAGTTCTGCCTGGAATATAGAGCAGTTAGGATGAAGAGTGTCAGAATTTTGATATATTT